TAAAAATAAGTTTCTCCTAATTAGGTAGTTGCGTGACCGATTTCGGTAGCGTAGTCAAGGATGAGACCGCCTGAATTTACAGGGCTAGAGCAGCGTACGCAAGAGGGCCCAAGAATAACACCCAGGCCATGTTCAGTAATGTCAAAGCTGTTGGCATTTGTCATTCTCCGCCGCGGCGGTCAGACCATGACATGACGTAGAGGTATGAAGAAGCTGGCTTCACTTTTTTCTTCGGTTGGTGCAACCAGCATTGCCAGTTGAAGCCCAAGGGATGATTGTAGTTGGTTAGAGGTTCTAAAAGATAGAAGTTAGCGGCGCGAATGCTGTACGGTCTGTCTGTGTGAATCCTGTGCCCCTTAAAAAAAACGATAAACGAACGCAAAAATAATATCAAAAAGTGTACGGCGAAACACAAAGAAATTTGTTGTTATCCCTGTTATCTACTGTTTTCCAATGTAATTGTTTAACCCTTTTTACACTTCGTTCTTCGTCCCAATCCCCCCATTCCCTTCCATGGTTATTGTTTTGGCTTTGGCATCATGCTTTCCGGCAAGCCGGTATAAGGATAATGAGAGGTTAATCTGACATACCTAACATTGGGAGTGAAAGATTCATTTAGTCTATAGGTAGGATTTTTCGTTGAATGAATACTTGCAGATCATAAGCAGCTATGCCCAAGGGCGTCGTAGGGATCGCCTCCGAAAACCTGAATATGGTCAGACGGGGGTGTCAGCTTACAACTGGTCACCGCTCCCTTGCACCGCGAAATTCTCCCATACAACCAAGCGTCTCAAATAGCATCTACCGAGGAAGCCCTACTTACTGCCTTCCCGTGTCGGAGTTGTTTTCCCACTAAAGTGAGAGGACGGAAAGCTAATTATCGGGTCGGTTAACCACTGGCAGTTCACCTAAGGGAGTTGGCTAAAAGCCCTGATTCCAAGACAAACAAGAGGAGGTGGACGAACCACCACACCTTCGTCGTGGTGGTTGTCACTGGCTGGATTAAGTATCGGGGTGTGTTGGGTACCTTGAACGTTTGACCTCGGCCAATGAGCGTATGATCCGGTGAACTGGACACCTCCCCCTCCCCGAATAGATCGCGGTTTTCACACACCGCCTCGCTACCAGGTGATTGCCCAGTTCCCCCATGCTGTAAAGTGGTCTATAATCAAGAAAATTGTTGCACAGAAATAAAATGTCATCAACTTTTTGATACAGAGGTTTAATTTTTATTGTTGGATATCAGAAACGCATGAGTGTTCAAGCCCACGGTATTTCAACAAGCAATTCGAACTTTGTCCTAATGGATATTATGTACTGTGATTTGTTTGGGCTCACAGCCTGAACTCAGAAGTGTGCTAAATATAATATTACTTTTAATATTAAATACCAAAAGGTGAGAGTTCTAACCTTCTGTGCATCAATTTGTGAGCTCATGAAATGGTTTATAATGAAAAATAAATGGTTTTAATGCATTCTTCTCACATCGATTCCCGGACCTAAAGTAAGCCTTTGTTTAGAGTCTTCTGTAGAGCCATTTGTTTGTTGTGAGATAAAATAATTAACTCCTTTTTAGTGTTTTCTCTCTGTGTCTGTCTCCGGTAATTGCCGCTTTATGCCTCGAATTCCATGGGTGTGTGTTCATAGCACAAAGTATGTACATGCGTTGTTCCATTTAAATTTGTTGTCGTTGATACTGTCTACACACAAATGAAAACTCTGAGTCCTTTCTGACTTGTAACATATTTCAGTTCAGCATGTTCACGACAATCAATGCTTGCAATGCGTAAGTTAAGAAATTCCTCATCTCATTGTCCTAACCAATGTGGTGTGATTTCATTGACCAATCTAACACTGATAACTTTGTGCGTTCACTGCGTAAAAAGCGCCAAATACCCCTCAGTGATTTCTTGTTGTTGATTAATTCACTTTCAGCTTGCCATGGCAAACGACGGAGTGGCTACGATGTTACGAGTGCAGCAGTATGTCAACACCATCGGGACCTCGGGAAAATTCCCGGCTCAGTCAAACTGGTCTGTCGATCCTGCAGTCAGTGATACTGTTGCTGTTGACATCGTGGATCGAAATTCCGAGCCCAATTCTCACTCCAGTCCCATTCACAAACCTGGGTTGAATGGCTCAACCGAAAATAAGGATGCGGTGTTCGTCTCCCAAGGCAGCATCGAAAATGGCGCTGACGCGACAGGGCTCCCGCCGGATGAGTGCTGGCTGTACAAATGTCCTAAACGTTCTTCCACATCTAACCAACCGCTCGAACCCATCCAGCATTGGTTGAGAGCTACATTCGATTCACCGGATTCCATATTCTACTCATCGCGTCGGAATTTATTGACTCGTTTGGAGATTATACTGGCATCTGGTGGTCCGATTGATGCCTATCGATTTGGTGGCAGTGTGCCTTCTCTGAACCAAATTCCACCCAGTAAACCGACTGATTCGGTGCAAAGAGCCAGAATGCCCCCGCCTTATCCAAATTTGATTGATCAGAGTCGTCGTATTGCGTCGGCAGGTTCTTCGGATAGTTTGTCCATGACTAATCAAAATAATAACGCTAACAATTACGGAAAATTGACAAAGCCCAAGTATAGTCTGCCACCACAGTATAGTAACAGCTGCGCGCACAGACCCGATAGTATGACTAACCTATCCACGGGAACACAAAATCTATCACAGTCTCTTGGTGGACAGCTAAGTGGTCTGTTTTCTGGTTCTCCAGCTAAAACTGGCTCGTTGGATGAACTGGAGCCAAACGCCAGTCGAACCAATATTCAAGAAATTGCTCGAATTCAAGAAGATAATCTTAAAGCAGACGTAGCTGCCATGGCAGCAGCGGCTGCAGCATCTGGTCGTCACGGAAGTCATCATTCATTAGCCTCTCTGGGAAGACGCAGTCCAGATGGAAGCTACTCTCGAGTCCCTAGTGCTCCAGAAAGTCCTCATTCAAGTAACCCCCAACTTGCCGGCCCGATAACTAATCAACCAATTGTTTCTCATGTACATCGACCCACAGTCGACCTGTCCTCAACTACGTTTGCAACTTATATGGTCCCCGAAGCAATAAAAACTTCAACCGCAAATGAGGGATCTGCAGCTACTCACCCACCTCCGACACATGTGCCTCGACTTCCACAGACTAATATTGGAGAAACCCGCCCTATTCACACCGGTGTAGTGAACAATAGCGGGCTCAACATTCGACATGCCTACTCGGCACTTCCTCAGAAACCAACAATACCTACAACCTATCAACAACTGTCTTCGGATGTACAAAATACAGGAATGGGTACGGTTCAAAATATGTACGTACCACCTCCCACGGTGTCGTCGAGTGAACCGCGCAACCAGTTCGGTTTCCGCTCGATGCGTCGCATACCCGGGCCACAATATAGCCCAAGACCCCCAGCCTATGTGCCTCCTTCTTTGCGTCCTAACCATCATAACGGCTCCTCCATGGAAAAATCCGGCTGAGATGTGTACGGTTGACAAACTTACATCAAAATCTACGTACGGTCTTAAAAATACCTTCGTCTTCTACATGCCTGTTAAGCCTTGGCCACTAGAAAGCATTTATCTTTCACATGCCTAGCTATCCTTAACGCTGCATCGCTCCCATTTTCTACAGACAATTTCGATGGCATGTCATCGTACCCCGGTACGTATGCCTAACTTTCGCCTCAACCGATACAAATTTTTGACTCTGTCATCTCCGCCTTTCCTCGACCGCATAGTTCTTTGCAAACGGGCTTGTCACCCATGAAGAAATATATAAAACACATGCACGCTTCAACCCATTGTGATATCGAACCTCCCACCCATCCGCTCCATCCCATTTCACGTCATTCGTCAAGCTAATGACCACATCCGTCCTGGTTCGCATTTTCTGTTTGTTCCGCTAATTCGTACTAGCATTGTGTAATTCGCTTGCAACCGCATCAGCTCACATCCACATTGTCCGAATCACAATCGGGCGTGCGCTATGCACTCCTTTCCATCATTTTTTGTGCTTGGCTGTTCTATTTTTTATTCCTTGTGCACCTCACCTCTCCGTACCCGATTCGGGCCGGTGATGCTATTTTTAGTGATTGCCTGCCGAGCCTCTCACTCAACTGCTATTTGCCGTGTAATCTTGGATTCTCTAAAGTGGAATCGTTTTCGCCTGTTTCATTTTTCTTTTTAATTTATTACTTACATCTTACCACCTGTTCCGCTGTAAAGTGTAACCTAATTTGAGCACGACTGTGACTCATTCGGTCGGGTTGTATTTGTTTGAATGGTTTATTTCACTTTACTTGTTTCCCCCTCTACCTTTGTGATCGGGCACATACATGTAATATTGTTACTTCAAATCATCAATACAGACAGACTTTCATTCATCGCCCAGGGTTCTCATTCACTTGTTCCTCTCTCTCTCATGTGAATCGGTCTATCATCGGTGGATGTTGTTGTTCTTTTTTCAGCTCTACTAGTGGTGGGTCGGTCGTCCATGAGTGATCCAAAATTGCCATCTGGTTCCGGTAAGCGATTATGGTCTCTCTAATTGAAGTTCGTTCAGATTCTCTAGCCACGCAGTACAAACATCAGTCGCTTCAGGTTTTCTTCTTTTAGTTGCAGTGCGAACTGTTTTATAACAGCATCCCTCCGTGTCAGTTCATCGGATAACCGAAGGTGGAAGAGAGATTTGCAGTTATTCACTCACTGGTTCCTGGCTCGGACGCTTTTTGCCCGATTTGAAAATTTTGTGTTTGATCAACACAGTTTCGTTTTCTCGGTCGCATCTGTCAATTGATTATCGTGTTAATTTGCATCTTCCACCATGAAATAACTCCCTCGCCCCGAAAATCGTGTCCTCAGGTCTACTCGGTTTTAGGCGTAAACGTTCCTTTTCTGTGCAATTTTTCGTGCCGATCGACAAAGAGTACTGGACGGTTGTCGCGTCGGTGTTAAGAACAGTCACCAATGTGTGCGTTTCTTGTTCCAGCTCCCAACCTGAAAGGTCGCCCGTTGAGCCCCGAGTGGACATAAGAAGTACACACTGTTGATGAGTCTGGACAATGAAAGAAAAAAAAACTGTTTTCCAACGTTCTTTGTCGGTCACCACGAAAAATTCTACGACAAAGGAACGTTTCGAAGTCTAAAACCAAGTAGAACGGAGGGCACGATCTGCTAGGGGACGAGGCGCATATTTATTTCATGGTGGTAAGTGTATCCCTGTAGGCTGGTTGGCAGACATCACTGAGTCGACTGAACGCGAAATTTTCAAATCGGACGAAATACTAGTTTTAAAGTGAAGCATTGAATCCGTGGTTCATCACTGATACCTATCTGCTTATTTTCCACCCTGAGAGTGTTTCGCACCATTAGTTTGCCTGACTGATGTAGTTCGTGGATCAGGTCAGATGAACACTCCAATTTTCGATGAACCCCAGAGGAAGCACCGCAGCTTCTTTGACTGCGTTCGGGTGAACGTTTGTAGATTATTCTCGGCGAGACTGCACCTTGAGTGGTGTGATGGCTTGAGCACCTCCCTAACCCAACAAACTACACAGGATGGCTTTTGTCAAACCAGGGGATCTTATCATGCCTGAAAGATCAATGGGTAGAGGTTAGACGAAATCCAGTTTCCTGGTCCTCAAGGTTGGGGGTTCGACCAGAATTTTAGTTTCAGTCGGTAAAAGATGGTGGAGGAGTAATCGATCTAAGTAAATGGGCCTCCACTTCACTTCGGCCACTACCGTGTGGTTGGGTTTTTATTAGAGCTAAAGGCTTTGGACGAGAACCCTAATCGTTCTCCTGCCTAGTAGCTAGACACTCTGGCAGTATCCCTTCATCAAACCCCAATGCATACACAAACTATGCATTGCGAATTTGGCAGCAATCAGTGAAGTTCGCTGTACGATGATGATGATGATTCTCTGTGTGTGTCTGATGGGGGCATTGTGTGTGTGTGTCGAATTCATCAGTCCATCGGTTCAAACATTTACTGACGGCTATTTGTGCAGCGAATCGTACAATAATGAGAATGCAGTCGCAATCAGAGCAAATGGAGCAGATCATAGGATACTTGTTTGTCTCGCAGATTTTCGTATCAATTGTTCTCCGGTCAAACGCGATCCGGTTGACGAGCACGCACTGATCGGTACCAGTCGTTTGGGTTTTTGCTTATTGTTTTGTTTTGAATTATCTGTCACTCGTGATGAGTACTAAAAGGTATCCCAACCCAATCGTAAATCTGACAAATATTTGCATTCTTGTGTATGTGGCGGTCTCGTCAAGGGCGACTTGTGTTTCACACTAGAGTGCGTCACAATTTTTTTAGCTTGTCAACCACCTGTGGGATGCGCAAACTCGATTCGAAAGTGTTTAAAATTGTACACTGGTGACTACCCACCATAATTACATAATGATTATAGTAGTGATCCGACATTGATAGTATATTTCTTTGTAATTGAGGTTTTATATAAGCAGACTTTTTCGTATTGTCTGATGACGATTCATTTTCGTTTGGTATTCCTGCTCGGCATTAAAACCGAACCGAGTTTTATAGTGATTATCCTGTATAAATACGTTATATGTGATGGAACTATTTGTGATGACCGATAGAGAGCATTGAACGGTTGCTCCATCTTGTTTCTAACTCGACTTTCAATATGCACGCTTTGTGTTCCTCTCTCTCTCTCTTGATGACCGTCCCATTACAATGTAGTTCAGCTATGGGAGTTGGTTGAATTGCGCGAAGCAGCCTTTCCACGTTAGGATTGCATTCGTAATGGTCTGCACTTTTTATTACACACATTTGTGTGGTAAACAGCAGACGGGGCGAACCCCATAGTCACGAAGACCTGCTACTCCGCCATAGAAACCGGCAACCTAAGCCCCGGGACTTGGAGTGGCGAACCACATAGGGCTCCGATAGGTTAGGCGTAGTATTGAACCGAACGACAGCAAAGCCATCTACCATCAAAGTTGGGTGGCGATAGTGGGGCTCGAACCTTGTACCATAGGGTCCAAAGCTCGTCAGTGACAGTGACTAAACCACTGCACCACCACCACTCAAAGCTAGGAAGCACTGGACAGGTGTTTCGACCTGGTTGGGTCTCATCAGCAGTGCGAACCCGTAGACCCAACCGATAACAAACAGTGGAGGGCTCACAGTTCACATGGAAAATATGAATATCTACGCTTACTGTCTGCCAAACGATTCCCATAACATTCTGTA